AGAGAGAGAGAGAGAGAGAGAGAGAGAGAAATAACTGATTACCATCTCAAGTGAAAAAAAAATCAGGAGAAGGATATAAACCACAAAACTTTCCCGTATTTCTGTCAAACTTTATTGTTTCTTGAACACAAAGAACTTGCACATACAACTGCTCTGAAGGTTAGGAATAAACATAATACAAACATGTCAGCAGAATATGCCGAGGAGGTGAGAAAGAAAGCTCCAGGATTTCTCATGAAGAGTTCTTGGGATCGCATTATAATCACTTGAAAATAAAATTGTAAACCTACAGTGTAAAGCCAAATGTGACACATGAAGCTCCTGGGGCCTACATTCCCTATGGAGGCCAGGCAGGTTAGGTATATGATGCAGTCAAGATCCAAAAATGGCTCTGCTATGAGTAAAACACACAATGCCGACAGATGCAAAATCCAAACTCAGCATTCGGGTTTCCTCCACATTAAGAAAACTCATGAGGAGTCACAGTGAACTGGCTAGATTAAATCACAGTGACATTGGTTCCTCAGGTTTGATGTGATTTTCTTTTGATTCAGAAGAGATTTTGTCTGGGTCATCAAACCAAGCTCTGGCTGCCCTCCACCTCCCTGCGGCTGGAGGGAGGGATAATATATATGACTAGGAAAAAGCTACAATTTACAGCTGTTGCATATGGGGTCTCTACGAGTCATACCAACTTGTTAGCTTGAGAGGAGTCGTAGGACGTCATTCTAATGCAAATAGAATAACTGTTACTATTTGAAGCTTACAAAAAATAATAAAAAAATAATAATGATAGTGATAATGTTGACAATCATAGGAATAATGATAATAAATATAATCAATAAAAGAACAGTAAAATACATAAAGTAAAAACAGTAATTAACTGCAGAACTGACATAATACAGTAATTGACATGACATTGGTTGTGATCTTGACCAATCACAAATTAAAGCAGTTTTATAATTAAAAAAATCACTATGAACTTTACTTGTTTTAAAACATTTGAGTATTAGCAAAGAAAGCCCAAAAATCTTCCAGGTGTATCTAAATTCATCATACATACAAGTAAAAAGAAAATGAAAGTACGGGACACAGTTACAATATTCAAAAAGATCTGTGTATAAGAAAATGCCTGCAGGATCATATATGTACAAAAGAGCTGACACTTAGGATCTTAGGGGCAGGGCCAGGGATCAGTGTTATAAGTGACTTTGGATTTGAATAACTAATTTTCTTACAACTAAACCCCCAAGTTCCCTCGCTTCACAGACGCTATGATGCACATATTGGCACCTCCGTTTCTTCAGCAAACTAAAAACAAATCACATTCCATGTTCGAACAATTAAAGTTCAAAATTGGAGATCTCGTTCCTTACCAACTAAAAATATAAAATATTTCTTGACTATTTTACAAACTTTATACAACATTATAGTACACAACATATGCTCTTCTAGCAATGCGTTGGCTCAATAAATAAAAATGATATAAAACAATTACGCTATGCTGTCCTCCGTGCTCAAGGCATTTGCAGATTTCTTTGTGACTTTCAAGTAGTAAACTAAAGAGAAAGACTGGCATCCTACTCCAAAAAACATTTTCTTGTTCAGGTTTTAGCAAAATGGAATTTTTGATTGTTGCCTTCTCAACAGTTTACACCAAGGTTGCGAAGAGTATGTATGTGTATTGGATATACGTAACTGTCCAGCTGTATATAGCATACACAGCATCTTTGAGTTGAAAGTTTCCCAAACAGTCATGGGAAGTTGCTGGAGAATATGCCGCTGATTATGATAGTAATGGTAATAGAAGACATATATCAAAGTAATTGTGAGACTACATCAGTAAGAAAATAAGACACGTCTCTTGAGGTCTGTCAGGGAATTTGCCACAAAGCAAAACAACAGCTGTGGGAGCATTTGGACTTGCCGAGGGGGAGGGCTCGATTTTGCCAACAGTGACCTAGCCTCCTTGACCAACCAACCGCACCTTGCTGTGACATAGAAAAATAATAACAAAAATCTGCACCAAAGAAGGAATAAATCGTGCTTCGGAAAAAAATGCGCATACAATACGAGAATAACCTGTCGGTAGCCTTTCTCTTTTAGAAACTCCTCATTTGTCCTGCAACACACACTTTTTCTGTCTTCTTACTAAGTTAACCTTCTGTGTCATCTGTCCTGTGGCCTTCCTCCAAAAAGCCCTAATGCTTCCACTGCGCTGCCCTGGACGATTGCTTGATTCTCGGAACTGTCGATGAGGCAGTGAAAGTGGTCGCCCTGAGGCTTCATCAGAAAATTAAAAATCCCCTGTAACCGAAAGGTCTAAAAGCAGACACCTACGCACGCACCGTTCACGACGAAAAATGCAGCAACTGAAAACTGCAAATCGAAGACCACTTTTTTGGAAGCTACTTGAAATGATTGGCTAAAAACTTTATGCAAGCTGAATTACATCTTAATAGGAACAATTCTAATGGCAAACGCCCTGACATGGAACCTTAACTGAGAGGGTGTGGAATGTGAAGACCAGTGGCCCACTCTGGCACAAGGGATGTGGACCACTTTACCACATCGTCTCCCTCCCCTTTCCAAAATACAAGAATCCAAAATTATCACACACGGAACTTCCCTAGGAATACTCACACCTTCCTTCCTCCATCTTTGGGACTTAGATTCTACTTTTTTTCTGCTATGATTATTATGAAGTGTGATGTATGAAAATATCTAGCTAAACGGTTAAGGATGTTTTTTTGATTGTTACTCATTAGTTTGACAGTAACAATACAGCTAGTAACACATTCTTATATCAGTGAGTTGTATTGCTTGGTGCTTTTGTAGAAACTTCTTTCTAATACTAAACAGGATCTACAAAAAATTTTGATTATCTAGTCATCACACACGTTCCCAAAAACACAGGCTTCTGCTAACAACAGTACACAGGAATACACTAACATGCACTTGGTCGTTTTTTGGCAAATTATCTGGTGGCTAAAAAAGGGAAGAAGGAGAGGCAAGGAAATACAAGTGGTTAACATCAAAGGAAACAATGTCGTGACGAAAACCAGGCTACAATATCATTTGTGAATATTGCAACGCTATTGACAACACTATTTTCTTTTTAAAATCATCGATTGGGAAAGTAAACATTAAATGATATGGATAACCTGTGCAAGAAGGGGGCAGAGTGATGCCTTGAGGTGATTGGACAGACACTGAGGAGGGCCGAGCTCTCTTGCGGTGTTAGTAACATGGTCGAGTGATACAGGCTTTAACACCTCAGTTGGACTTGTGATGACGTTTACTAAAAAAATATTTTTCGATATCATGTATTTTTCTTAAAAAAAAACAAAGAGTTTAAAAGACAACTTATTCCATTTGATTTAGCTTTTTTCTCCACTCAAGCTTTACATTTCAATGACACATTCTGGACAACCTATTTGTTTAATGTGATCATGAGACAACCCACCCAGCCATTTACCAGCACTGCATTTTCTTACTCGGACAAACAACGAGGCAACATGACTACAGCGGTGTCGGGTCCTTTACGAGGGAGGGAGGAAAGGGAGCGAGGAATGGCCGGATGTTCACAAGATGGGAAAGTGATATGTGCGTCAAGGAGGGAGGATCTCTCTCATCTCTTGGCTGTTTCTGGTATGCAACGTCTTTTTTTACATGTTAAAGTATATATACTCATATCCTCCAAATATATCAAAAAGAATCCCCCTTGAAAAAAGCTGCTTTTTAAAAGTTTAGCTTTTTAAGTTTAGAACCTTTTGCAGAGCTCTTTTATTATCTTTATATATATAACATTTTTTTGTTCACCCAGTAGTTTTTTCCCATTTTCCAGTCGTGTGCATGAGCAACTTTAATACACACTACACTGCGCTTCACCACATCAGGCAACTTATAATCTCTCAGTAGAAAGTGAGACGCTTGCAGAAGCTGAAATGGGGAAACATTCTCCGAGATTTCATCAAAGGGTAGAAAGGACAACACCAATACTAGACTTTGGCAGAATAAGGTCTGGCAGCAAATGGAATATCAACAATTACACTAAGGGTCAAACCAGTGGCGTACAACGCGCAGAAGTGACAGGCATGCTTGTCAACCCTAATGCAGACACGGGCTCTCGCAGGAGTTGATTTACAGCTGTTCGTCGTTCTGTCCATACACCACACACATGCGCACCACAGTTCTGTCTCCAACACACCATTGGCCATGAAAATATCACAAGAAGGAGAGGGTTGGGAGCACTTGTAGAATCCCAAAAAAACAGTCTCTGGTTGCAGTCAACCACGTTTTCTAACAGTTTGCTTGCTGTATCCTGGGGTGAGGGTTTCCTTGAGCTAATGGGCAAAAAGGGTTCTTTGTGACGGACAATTTTTTCATCTTATTGCAATCAAAATAAAATAAAATGCACTCTACCCCGCCCAGGACTCAAGCTTCATTTTAGTGTCTTTCCCTCGATCATTATCACATTTTCACGTAGACGATGGCCTTCAGGTCCAACTTTTGACGCACCATCGGACATCGCATTCACTCTGGACCTGGACATTTAGCCCACCTGACTACTTGTACCCTAACTTGATTGCCGACTGTTGGCATGGGTTAGAGTAGTGGCACTATACCAGGAAGCCCTCGGACATGTTGACGGCAAGCTGCGTGCGCATGGTGTGTATACTCTGCAAAATTTTCTTCTGATGGCCAACTAGGGTAATGCCAAGCTGTGTTAGGTCGTGCTGTGTCAGGCGTGCCACAGCTTCCAGGTCAGTCAAGCCCGTCCGCTGGAAGTTGTCAAGATAGCGGGTCATCTTGATGGAAGCAAGCCAGTCCTCCACAGATGTGAGCTGTGTCATGTCCACCGAGTCAAGACCCAGGGCTGTTGTACACCTGTTGAGAAACACTATTAGTTTTTTGACTAAGATGAATTGCAAGTAAACAAAATGGTTAAAAAAATCTTCAAACTGTTAAAAAAACATATTTCAATTTCTAGAGTAAAACTAGTAATAATATAACAACAGATGAACCACGAGAAAAGGGAGTGAAATTCACAGCATTAAATTAATAGGAGTGTTACCAGGGAAAGGAAAGTGCGCTGCCTACCACTACCCCATGTTTCAGTGAGGGCCCGAGCAGTTGGCCAGACTAAGCTGAGGCTCGACTGCAACAATGGGAAGCAGAGGCAGAATGAGAGGAACACTTGGTCATGCTACAGGGTATGCAAACAACACTCAGATGCAGAAGACTGTAATTACAAGCAATGTAATGAGGAGGATGACTCATGCAGTGAAGAGAAAAACAAAGATAAAAAAGTGAAATCGTGATGAGTGAAATCAACTGCAGGTGAAGTCCTGGCTGAATGTTTTGTCTGTTGGGAGCAGTGCCCTGAGGTCCAGATTCCCATGAGTGCCACACACTACAACCCCAAATGCGATGCTCCAAGTGTCACAGGTTACAAGAAAAAGTTGGAGTGAAACGTGAAAGCAATGATGTCCTTGCCGCGACACCTGCTGAATGTATTACCTTATAAAACCTCCACCAGGTGACAGACATGTCAGTCAGGCATGACGGCGCTTATTTTAGGCTGCCTGGTTAAAGTTGACCCACTGGGGTCGGATGAGGACGGGTGCATAGTAGGGGTTTTGGGGGGCCGGCCGCCTGGGGAGAGACGATACGACACCATCGTCAGCCACACCACCACACCAGGCCAGGACAAGGGGGGGGGGGCATGAGGCATTTCAAGGAGCAAAGGACCTCGGGAAACATTATGCAGTGGTGCATTTAAAAAGAGCAAAAGTACCGAGGGGAGATGTTGATTGTAAGATAGAATAATAACGAAAGACGAAACAAAAAAATATAAGAATTCACATCATATGCAGGGCTACCTGCAGTAGTAGTAAACACAAGAATAAAGAATGTGGGTTTAAAACATAAAAAAAATGTATGATGTTATGCAACAACAAGAGAAATCATATTAAAAGAAGGGCCAAGTAAATTTCACTGTAAGAAACAGCTCAGTATAAATAAATAATCAAATACAATGTAAAGGATAAAGGGGTACAGAG